GCCAGCTGGGGATAGGGAACAGAGTTTGTAGGGGGGAGAACTAGGAGGGACCCAGCACCTCTGCTCATTTGGGAACGTCGGCTGCAGTTGGGAACCTCGCAGTCCCCACCCGCGCAAGGCGGAGGAGCGCGGCCCCACAGCTGTTGTGAAGGGCTGGGGGAGGAAGGTTAAGCGCCACACCCCATGCGTTCGGGGACAGTGGGGATCCTGCGGCTGGGGGTAGGGAAGGACTGTCTGGGAGGGGTTTAAGCCTCTAAGGTTGAGTCTACATTTAACACCACTTCCCGTCCCCACGCTGCGAGCTTTCCTGGAGTCTCTCCATTTGCTCCACCCGTTACCCCCACCCAGCCCTGCTTCTGTCCACTCCAAGGCATGCTCCCTCCCCCAAATCCTTAGCCCGCCGGTGTCGGGGTCACACTTCAACACTGAAGTCTTTCTTCCCAAGCCAGAAGCTGCCGGGCCCCTTCCCAGACCTGGACTGCAGGCATTCTCCCTTCTGATGCCTTTTTTCCACTCAGCCCTTCTGTCTGGGGAGGTCTTTGGCACAATTGCGGAAGAATGCTATGCACTGTAACAGGCCGAGGGGCTGACTGTGTGTTTAATCAGAGAGGCCTTAAGCTGGGGGTGGAGGTGGGCTGTGTGTTGTATCAATGTGCCACCCCAGATCGTATGACCACCTGGATGTGTGTGTGCGTGTGTGTGTGTGTGTGTGTGTGTGGAAATTGCGGGATTGCATGCCCATGTGTGACTCTGTGATGATTATGGGGTACGTGCCTATGTGCAGGCATATGGATGTGTGATTGTATAATCCTGGGGGAGTGATTATGTTTGTGGTGATCATGCCGGTTGTGGAGGACCTGTGTGTGCAGCTGACTGTTGCGACTGTGTTTATGGGGCGTGTGTATGGCCCTGTGTGTGATTGTGTGCCTGAGTGACTAGGGGCTGATGTGTGTGAGTGGGAGTGAGTGCTCACAAGCAAATGTGAGGAGTATCCTCTGTGTGTGAGTGGATCCATGCTCATTAGTCCATGTATCTCAGTGTGCTGCCTGCCTGTGGCTATATTTTTATATCTCTCTGTCTAATGCAAGGGGGTGGGAGATTAACACCCAGGGCAGCCGAATACACCCTTGTAAGGTATGCATGAGAAAAAGTTGGGTTTTGGAGGCTGCTGGTCATTTTCTGACTTACCCCTGAAATATTCCAGGGAGGAGGTTGGCAAAGCCTCAGCTGCTGGTCATTTGACAGCTGTTGCCAGTCAGAGGGGGGCTGAGGGAGCAAGGGTAAGGCCTGCCAGCAGTACTATTTGCTGCTGGTGCTAGGCAACGGTCAGCAAGGGTGGCATTAAGAAGGGTCATCCCTTCCCCTCCAAACCCTTACCCCACGAGCTGACCCTGGGTAGTCCCCAAGACCGAATTCCTTAACTCCTTCTAGCTTTCCTCAAAGCCCTTCTTTAGGCTGAAACACTGAATCTCCCAGGGTCTCAGAAACTCCTCTACCTCCAGGCCTTTCATCTTGCTGTTCCCTCTGCCTAGAACACCCTTTCCAGCTCTTCACATCTCAGTTTCTACTCTTATTCAGGTCTCAGCTTACATGTCGTCTCCTCAGAAGGGCCTTCGCTGACGTGGCCTCCCCCTCAGGAATGTCCTATCACATCGCCTTGTTTATTTTCTGTACAGCACTTATTATCATCTGAAATAATGTTTCTTTTCAATTCCTTCTTTCTCTGCTTCCCCCACTAGAATAGAAGCTCCATGAACGCAGGGACTTTGTGTGTCTTGTTTACTGCTATGTCCCCAGGGCCCAGCACAGACTTTGGCATATAGTAAAATCTCAAAAAATTGTTGGATGAATGAAGGAAAGAAGGATAGTCCTACCTAGGCCAATTAAGGCAATATTTGCTGCCTGTTGTGTGTCAGGCCTGGGCCACTCACCACCAAAGAGCCCCATTGTACTCATGGAAACAGACATACACATGTGCCTAGATTGTATATATTAAGTCAGAGTGAGGCAGTGAGGCTATAGGACTCAGTTCACCGGCAAACATTGGCACTTGGTCTGGGCCCGGCCCTTTGTCAGAGCAAATGGCTTTATTTGGCCCAGATGCCGGCCTACAAAGAGCTCACAGGGTAGAGGATGCTAGATCTGCCTCCTGGGGAGATGAACTCTTGCAGAGAATAATGCCAAATCACTGAGCTGAGTGATGTGATAGGCACTGAGAACCAGAGAAGCCAGGGATAGGAGAGACACCAGGGCTGTGGACAGTTTCTTGGTTCAAAGTAACTTGGGCCTAGAAGGATGAGAAAGGGTGTTCAGACATCAGGGACTGGTTTGAAAGATAAGCACAGCCATTGTCTCTTAGCCCCTCTGCAGAGCAGAGTCCACAAAGAGGAGAGAAGCCCCGGGGAACTACTCTTGGCCTAACCTCCATTCGCCGAGTTTATCCAGAACACACAAGCCCTACTGTGTGTTCTGGAGCTGCCTCCTTCTGACAGTCTCACCTAGGCCCCCTTGCCTTATGGCTTCAGGTGGAGATTGGCCATAGGAGATACAGGAGACTCTGACAGGAGATCAGAGGGAAGGAGAGTGAGATCAGGATATTTATAATACCTCCTCCCCCATGCTTTTGGCATCTCCACCGAAAACCACAGTTCCTGTTGGTTGGCCTGCACCCATGGGTACAGCTCTCTCCAGGTTCATCAACAAGGCTCCCTCCCTTTGCTTCTTTAGGCCTGGAGGTAGTGACTCCATCTCACTCTTGTGAGTCCCAGGGTGCTTCACCTTTCCTGCCCACACCTCTGAATAGTGCCTTCATTAAACTCTCTTCTAGCAAACACTTTGAGTGGTCCTCTTTTCTGCTGAGACAACCCCCCTCCCCCGCCCCTTAAGAACTACACTGAGGGGAGCTGAGCCCTTGGCAGAGAATGTGGGGGAGACCCTCTTTCTAAATCACCACCCAAAACCAGAATTAGAAAAGTTGTGAACAGATCAAAATCCCATCCTATGTAAACTGTGACCTCCTGACCACCACTCCGGGCAGGGTCCCAACCCAAGAGGTTCCTCTTAGTTCATGTTACTCAGGCTTAGACTTATAGTTACCATTGCCAGGAGAACAGGGGAGGGAGGGGGCTATGAGACTGGGGAGAAATGGGAGGATGACTGACATAGAATGAGCTTGGAAGTAGAGAGATAACAGAGGGCAGCCCTGGAGGTGGGGGTGGGGGGGTTGGGGAGGGGTTGGAGCCTGTGTAGCAGTCTCCGTCATACCCCAGAGCATGCCCTACATGATCTTGGGAAGCCAACTTCTCTGAACATAAGTTCCCGGTATGTTAAATGGCCAATACTCTCTTCACAGGATTATTGTGAAAAGCGATCAAATGTGAGGCTCAGCACATGAAAGTGAACTTGCTCTGAAAGCTGAGTGTAGCACATTCCCCATTATTACTGGTGCAGATGGAAGCCACTCTGCTGAGTTTCTGTATGCCAAGAGCTCCAGCCAGCCAGAGGAAGGAGGAGGATGGTGAGAGATGCTCCACCAGGCTCTTCAGCCCACTGCTTCAAGGGAGCAAGGGTTCAAATTCAAGCTTTGGAGGTAGCAGGCCCAAACCTAAAACCTGCCTCTGCACTTGCTGTGTGACCTTAGGAACATCACTCTACCTTACAGATACTGCTTTCTTCTCTGTAAAATCAAGTAATGCTTTTTACCTCACAGGTTTGCTGTGAGGATAAACAGAACACAAAAAGCATTTAGTTAAGTACCTGATACATTGTGAGTGCCCAAGAAATAATAACTATTATTTTAAAAACTTCCCTTTCTCCTTCTTATTCTCCCCAAAACTGCAATCAGAGACTGACTGACTATAGTATGTCCATCGATCCATCCACCCCATTCTTTGAATTGTTCATTCATTCATTTCAACATTTATTAAGCCAGACAACATGCTAGATCCTAGGAACACAGAGACTAGGAAATCATTAAAGCGAGAACAATATCTGTTCTGATATTAGCTATTTTCTTAAGCACCTGCTACATGCCAGGTGCTAAGCTAAGCATTTTGTCTTCGTTATTGCAATGAATTCTCAGAACAGCCCTAAAATATAAGACCTATAATGAAACTCATTTACTGGTGGTAAAACTGAGGCCCAAGAGGTCAAATAAGTTAGTTGACCAAAGTCACACAACCAGGAAACGGTGACACTAAGATTCAGTATGCTGCCTCCACTAGGGACTGAATTGTTTTTTTTTTTATCATCATCATTGTCATTTTGCCTGACCTCTAGAGGCTTATAGTCAACTGAGAGTCCAGTGGCCTCCCCTCAACCCTTGGACTTACTTGGCAGGAGTCCCGGCATGGCCGCAGACTTGGGCAGAGTTGGGTTCAAATTCAGTTCTGCATCTCTGGGTAAATTACTTAAACTCCCTGAACCACAGCTTCCACTTCTAGGAAATGAGGTTGGGTGGACATTAAATGAGAAAATATTGAGGAAATGCCCAGCACCTTGCCCAATATAGAAGAGTCGCTTAATAAGTGTTATTCTCTTTATTTCCTCCTTTATCCCTGCCCGTTGGAATCCCTGTCTGGGGGTCATGGGCCTGCACCCTTGCTGACCGACCATGGGTGCAGAAGTCACCACGCTGAGCGGCGTGTCTCTCCCGCGGGCGTCATCGCACCGACTACCCCCGCCCCCTCCCCGCCTCCACGAGCTCTGGGAGTGGTTGTTCCCACGGCCGCCGCGCGGGGTCGCCTGGGCCCGGAGTTTTATGTGCGGAGGCAGGGAGGTCCGAGCCGGAGCTGAATCAGGATGTTTTAGGATCACAATGATAATCAATAATAACAATAATAGTACCAGCACCAGATCCACCGGTTACCAATTTAAAAGGCGCAATCGCGTGCTGGGAGGCTGGGGGACTCAAGGGAAGGAGCCAGGCTTAGTTTCAGACCGGGTTCCAATCCAGACCGCTCACTCTGAACCTGGGCCTCACTGAACCTGATTCCTCAGCTTAAAAATGGGAAACAATAATAATATAGTTCTTGAGAGGAATAAATGAGCTCCTGGAGGGCTCATTGGAGAGCAACTTGGGAAAGGGCATGTAATGTAATTCTCACCTCTACCCTGTGAGGGAGCTATTTTAAATTCCCTTTACAACTGAGGATCTACCGGGGGACCTTTTCCCAGGCGTCCCTGG